CATTTGCCTCCCCACCCCCGTCTCTCGATTTAATATATTTTATTTTTACGTTCGTAACTCTAGTCCTTTGTTAAAATGCTTCTGGTTCTACTTTGTCGCTTCACGGGTGTGTCGCCAGGTCCGTGCAGCATGCCGACCTCGAGCCTTTGGCAGCGGTGCCGTCGCAGGTGTGAAGTCTGTGCGGCTTGACTGACTTGTAAATCTCCACTGGGCTTTGTGCATGTGCTCGGGACGGAGGGAGCTGCGGGAGGAGGTCAGCATTTCCTCACCGCGTTGTCCAGAGCTCTGCTTCTCAACCTACGCATGGGCTTTGAACTCGCTTTCTCGTCCTGCGATACAAACCCACAATTACTTGTGCTGATGCTAAACGACATTACTTCCTTGTGTCGGTGCGAATCGGAGGAAAGGCTCTCGCTTTCATTCCCAAAGGGAGTTGTTTTTCCAGCATCTCCCGCTTGGGGCTGGCTGAGAGCTGTAGCCGTAGGGTCTTGCTCTGCTTCTTCCTCAACGTGTTTTGTTGACTCTCGACTGTGAGAGGAGGCGATCGGTGATTTCTTGCTGAGAGGAACTGGGAACAGGCAGAATGTGAAACCCTTGGATGAAGGCTTCAGCGTGTGGCTGGGCTTGAGCTCTGGGAAGGGCTGACAGGGCACTTTTTTAATCCCCCCGCATGCTTTTAAGCTTAGACACGCCTTCTTAAGCCCTGCTGATGAATCTTGCTTACTCAGGTGGTGTCCTTACTCGCTCGTGCAGAGCCACAGCAAACTTGCTGCCGTCCTGAAAACGGGCAAAGTAGAAAAGCTGACAGAAAATGAAATACCAAAGGTCAGATCAATCCTCAGCCTGAATCCACCCGACTTTCCCTGTGACCTGGAAAGCATCTGACACATTTTTGGTAGGCTGACTGGGCAAGTTGTCGATTGAAACACACATTTCCCAGCTGGAGCTGGATAAAACCCCTTCCGGAGAGCCCTCCAGGAGGTGTATGATGTCAGATATCTTTGTATTGGGTCACGTTTTTCTTCACTTTGTTCATCCTTGGGCTTATCCATATGTCTGCGGGTGAATAATCTGGATACGTCTCTTGGGTTAGAGGCAGAATGACCTCGGGTATTACAAAACCCCTGAATTTAACTGCGTAGTAATTGACACAGTGTTTTGCCCTGTCATGCTCCACTCCGAGCTCTCTACATGCACAGAATCAGTTGCAAGGAGCCTTGAAAAGGGGACGCAGAAGTTTCTGTGCGTTGAGTGTCCTGCCGCTGTTTGCTGCGTAACTGGTCTTTGCCATCAGACAGAATCACAGAGTCACAGAACAGTTTTGGTTGGGAGAGACCTTCAAGATCATCGGGTCCAACCTTTGTCCCAGCCCTATCGACACGATCAAACCGGGTCCCTCAGCGTGAAAATTCAGCCTGAGAACCCTGGTGTGTCTGCTGCTGCGGCAGCGCTTCTGCTATCTCAGAAACTGATTTCTTTGGAACAGAAATTGTCAATCTTTGTGATGTGGTACAAGATTATTCCACTAGAAATTAGTTTATACTCTTCACGCCCCTTTCCACATAGTAGTAACTTTTAAGCTGCGATACTCCAAGGTTCATTTCAGGGGACAGCAGTAACAAAAAGATTCTTTATTAATCAATACAAGTTTTGTTTTAAACCATTAATTCATGCCCAGCATCTACATGGATTAGACCATCTGGTACACATAGGTTGCTTCACTGTCTCTCAGTTTTCAGACCCCTAAAATTTCAAGATTTTGAAGTACTTACCAGAAATCCACCAGCTCCCAGGAGGTGCTTCCCCATCATGCTCCTGAGAAACATTTCAATATTCGACTTCTTTTTGAAGCAAATGACCGCTTCTGAGTCACAGCTCGTGGTTGTGTGCCCACAGAGCCACGAGAAGCTGGTGCCGTGGTGGCAAAACGTCTCTCTTTTGGTTTTCCTCCAGCAGAAGATCCCTGCGAAGGGGCTGGCAGATGGCAGAGAAGTCTGTCCCGAGGCTGTGGCCTTCTTCATCTCCTTTTTTTTTTCCCTTTGCACGGCAGACACGTGCCATTTGCTTTATGGGCCATCATCAATCGTGGAGCATTTTTGCGTATGTGGAACTTGGAACCTTGCACAAAGGAGGCTGGTCATGCCAGCTGTTCCCTTCCTGCACTGCTGCGTTTCTTTCTGCAGCTGCCTGGCGGTGCTGGCTGCTCCCCGTGTCAGCTGTGCCTTCACTTGCAGGTGACGCAGCTTTTCTCTTGGAAATGAAAACAAAGCTTCTCCTTTAGAATTCTCTTGCTAGCGGGACCCAAAATGCGTTTCAATATCGGGAGGGAGCCTGCTTTTAATTTCCAGGTCTGCGTGTAGTTAAACTGCAGCTACCCAGCGGTCGTGCACCGGGAAGGAGCCGAGTGTGCAGAGATTCCTTCACCGAGTTACCGCTTCCAGCCCTGGAGCTCTGCTCAAGCGGAGGCTTCAGAGCTGGGTTTAATTGCCACTGCAAAGGCAGGTGCTGTTCTCAGACTTGAATGTGTGTTGTGGATTCAGAGAACCTTGTTTTAGCACCCGTGCGGTATTTTTAATAAGCTAAAGAGAGCAAACCTAACTCTCGTAATCTAGAACCGTGGATTTGCTGCGCCTTCACTAACTTTTCCTTTGCTCCTAGTTGGATGTGAGTTCCCCACCACGTAAAGCAACTGCTGGTCCTTTGTCTCTCCCTCCAGCAGGTCAGTACAGGGTGCAGGGCAGAACAGAAGCCAGAGACATGAGCTGCTGCGCCTCTAAATAGAGCCAGGCGTCTGATTTTCACTACTTTCGGTATCTCCTTTCCCATTCGTCCTGACACCTTCTTGGTTTTGTGGAACTTTTGAAAGGGAGTAAAGTTCCTTTCAGCCATGCCCTAAGAAATGCGAAAGGAGATCTTGTGAGACAGGTGACAAAATAAGACAAAGAAGCAGTGGCAGCCCAAAGCTCTGCCTAAACCAGTTGAGCCCAGGGCACAGGAGAAGAGCACCATGTTTATCGTAATTATTCTGACGTGTTTAAAAAGTGTGGGTGAGCTCAATAGATGACTTTCCCTACCTGACCCAGAGGCGCTCCACAGTGTTAAATGGAAAATCTCCAGTATGAGAAAGGAGGGAGCTGTTTGGAAAGGTGAGGTGGAAGGAGGGAGACCTCGAGGAGCAATGGAATGGGAAGAGGCACGATTGCCGCACGTATGGCTCTGAGGGTGTGGGTTGGTGCCGATGCTGTGGGAAGAGACGGGCCCCTGCAAGAGTCTGTTTTGAGGGGAGTATCTCAGGGCTGAATCTCCAAAACGGGAACGCTTTCACCGTCTACATACGTGTCGCTTACAGGGTCCTTCTCAAAGTAGGAGCCCAGCCCAATCTGAAACTCTGAGACGGTCCGTCGTTTCTCCCACAGTTGCGTCCTTGCTGCTGGGATTAATTGATTTAAAACGCTGTTGGAGTCAGCTGCTCCAATTAAATGTTCCTGCCTCCCTTCTGGGACAGGGAACTGAGCATGTTTCCTGGCGTCTTGTCCCCCTCCTGCGCTGCCTCATGTTGTCCTGCAGTCACTTCCATCCCTCTGAGTCCCCTTTGGATGGCATCAGCACCTCTTTTGGTTGCCAAGCCCCTCCAGTCATCCAAAGAGACAGCCGAGAAGCCAAGGGTGACACCTCTGCACTTGGGTCCCATCTTCTCTGGCAAATCCAACCTTAAAAATCAAATATTCCTCACAGAGGTGAGAAGGTTTCGAGTCCATTCGAGGCTGCTCTTCCCGTCAGGTTTTTCCTTTCCGTTGGCTTTGGGCCTTTAATGGTTTAGCAGCTGCCTCTGGGGTCGCTTTTTAGGTTTCCTTCCCCTCCTGGTTGCTTTGTGAAGTTTTTCATGGGGAGTAAGATTTGTCCGGCTTCAAGGATTTGGTTCCAAAGCCACCAGGTTAATTTACTATTTATACAGGGCAATAAAAGAGATGGGCATTATTACCACGTATGTAACGATGCAACTCAAGCTTTTCTTTTTTTACTTTCTCACCGTGCTAAGTCTTTTATGCAGCAGTATTCCGGAGCCTGTGCTTTTGTGCAGTTAAATTTTATAAATTTTATCAGTGCTGTTCTACTGACGGTGATTGCTTCTCACAAATCCCGAAGATGCTCTTTGTCTTCTTGTTTCGCAAAGAAACCCCCGTGAAAGCTGAATAATGAAGCTCGTCCTTGCCAGCCTGGTTAGTGTGACTGCAGAGCCGCTCACACGGCAGTTTCTTACCGAGAGTCGCTTTTTGCCCAGGCTGCCCAAATTTCTTTGTGTGGAGGACAATGGGAACTGCAGGGGTCGCGCCGCCGAGAGGGACGTGTCTGATGGGAAACCCGATGGTTGAAATAATTAATTGGTAACCAGACAGCTGCTTCACCCAGGGGCAGGTTCGGATGTCTGCCACTGCGGTGTCTCAGGAATTTCTGGTTTTGCTTGAGCTCCTGAGGGCCGTAAGTGTTCTGTTCCTGAGCAAATTAACGTGTGGCATAGCTGACTCCGGCGTCCGGAGCTTCTCATCGTCTCTCCTGTTTGTTCACATGATACAAAGACAACCAAAGACCTCCCCAGCACAGGAATGTGAGAGGGAGAAAAATTGCAAGTTTTTAGTTTGTTTTCCTTTTTTAGTTTTTTACCGTTTGATTTTCAGTGGGTCAAGTTAAGCTTTTGTGGTTTGGGCAGGAGCGAGGGAGCAGCGCTGGTCCACGGTGGCACCTTCGGGCGAGCGGTTTGCAGGGGGGAGGATGTTCTCTGGTGGCCGTGGTGACCGTGGCCAGCTGCTGACTGGCTGCCCTCTCGTACCTTTAAGTCACAGAGTTGTGCAGATTCTCTTCTGAGGCTGACATGCTGGCCTGTGAGCCACTGACCTGAGCACCCAATTAATGTTGTCTCTTCTTGTATTTTTTCTTTCCCCCCCTCTTTGTGTTTGGTTTTTTTTCCCTCCCCTCTGTTGCCTTCCCTCCTCCTTTTCCCGCTTAACCCAGAAAAACTGATTGAGGGACTCAAATCTCCTGAGACTGCGCTTCTGCTCCCCGATATCCTGCCTCTCGCTGACCCCTTCGGTAGCACGTCAGACGCTGTGAATGGTAAAAACAAACTCAGGGCACCTCCTCCCCTCTGCCTCACACGGCACGTCTTGTCCCGCATGAGAACTCTGCCTGTTTACCCGCCCCGGGCTCCCAGAACAGCTGATGTTGGTGAAGCGGGCGCGTTTGGAAGTGACGGGGTTGTGCTGAGGCAGATCTGCCTTTTCCCGGTGAGACCAACGCCTGAGCAGCAGAGAATGGTGTTTGCAGTTAAACATCTGGCACAATAACACAGCCCGGTTGTGCCTTGTGCGTTGTTCTCATCTTGGTGGCAGGCTGTTAACGGTTGCCTGAAGGAGAAGATGCACAAAATCCTTCCATTTCTCCTGAAGGCTTTGCGTGTAACCGTGGCCCAGGCACCGAGCTGCTCTGTCTCCCACCGACCTGAGGGGTAACGAGAGGATGAGGAGCACAGCGTTGCCGCTGACCTGGGGCGGGCGCTGAGAGTAAACGTGCTGGGCTGCCTCGAGCCCGGATCTGACAGGCTCCAGTCGGTTTAGAGATTTCAGAGCGCTGCAGAATCTGAGTTTTACTTGTCCAGTGCACCAAGGGCTGATAATTGCAGCTGCAGTTAGTTGCAGTCATCTGCTTCAGGTTTGGGGTCGCAGCCAGGGTCCCCAGCTAGCTGGCTGCAACCTTGTAGGCAGGGAATGAGTCCCCTTCACAGTCAGACTTTTTCTCCCTTTTGCAATTTTTGGCAGTTGTCTGAACGCTTTTAAATAATGATCCTGCAAATCATGGACACGTGCGCTGCTCTGCAGACAAAACCAGTCATTAGTCTCCCCTAGGCTGACCAATTAGCCTGTTTCTGGTCCTGGCCTTGGAGTGCAGCCTTATTCTTTAATCTGACTTCTTGGTCATTACCTCTGACATTGGTTTTCGAGGAAGAGACCTGGACAAACGTGACACTTGGCTGGTGTGACTGGGGCAGTTACCTGCCATGTCTCTCCCCTTTATGGCTTCGATAAAACCAAATCTTTCTACCCAGCCTTTGAAAACTCAAACCCAACAACCGCCAACGTGTTGCAGTCGTCCCCAGCGATTAAATTAACATCAGTCCAGCTTCAGCCTCTTGTTGCCGATGTGCGTTAACGGGTCACTAAAGCCTTCAGGCAGCTGCCACCGTAGCTCCTGCCTATGCCCTGTCTTGCAAACTAACCTCTGGCTTCTTCTCTGCTCTGCTATTTGCACCTTTGGAAAGGAAAACCCGACGTAGCTGTTGAGAGTCTCATTCCGGGCCTCGAGGCTCCGTTGCCCCAGCGCCTCGTGTCACAGACGGAGTCGGTTGCCTCCAACAGAACAGGTTGGTGAGGCCGGAGAGTGGGAGGGGGTGAAGCAGAAAGCGCCGGCGATAAGCGGCCAAGCCCCTTTTCCCACCGGTGGAAGCTGGGCTGGCTTCTGCGCCTTCGCGGTGGGTGCTGAGCGGTTCCGTGAAGGTCAGTGTTACTGGTCTCTGCGTTTCTCTGCGTTCTCCAGCCCACCGATACGGGTCTGTGGGGGCTGGGGCATCGCTCCGATGAAATGATTTTGGAATCTGGAGCAGTCACTGATTTTTGTTCCATTGGGGTGTGGCAGGAGCCAATTCATGTCCCTTCCTTGCTGTGAAAGGCCTCGATTGGGCCCCTTTTGCAGCAGATGGACTCGACCTCTTTTCAGAGGTCTCTTGTGAAAGAGCTTCACTGGGTCAGAGGGTCCCTGCAACTCTCTCTCCCTCATCATGCTCCCGTTCACTCCCCCTGCTTAAACCTCCCACAGTTTGGGGCTCCCCAGTTCCAGAGGGACAGGGACCTACTGGAGAGAGTGCAAGGGAGAGCTACGAGGGGGATCAAGGGACTGAACATCTCTGCTGGGAAGAGAGACGGAGAGACCTGGGGCTGTTCAGCCTGGAAAGGAGACGGCT